TCTGGGTGTCAACAGAACCCTCAGCAACCTCCTGTGTCATCATCCCTTGGCCCTCCTCCTCCAAAGACTGCTTTTCACCAATTTGGCTTTTCAAAGAGCCTGTCAGCAGTTCACCGTCTCTTAGACTGTGCTCATTTTAATTATTATTAAGAGACAGTTGGGCTGACACTTACAAGTAGGTGACCACCTCCTTTATGTCATTGAAAAGGAACACAAAAAGAAATCAGACCTGTCCAGGGTGCCTGAAATTCTGTTTGAGAGATTCATTCCTCATTTCAAAGCTTTTAATATTTTTACTTCTGTTTAATCTTACGTTTTTCTACATATGGTACTTACTATCTTACCTATTTTATTCCAATCAATTTTATGTTTCTGTGTCTTCGTGAACTGTAAGCCATATGCATAGGACTAGTTTTTCAATGCTGTATCTTAGTGTCTACTGTAGTACATGGTTAACAGTGGATCTGAATACAAAGCTGTTGAATTAACAAACATATAATGGGCCAGCAGATAACACATGCTGGTAAATGCTGAAACTTGGCAAGCTGAGGTCACGTGAAAGGCTCTGGTTTGATTCTCAGCTCACTCTTAAAAAACAAACAAACGAAACAGATACAATGGTGCATAGGTGCAGTCCCAGTTAACAGTGGTCCAATGAAGAGATCTGTTACTGAGACTGGTTGTGTGCTTATGGGAAGGAGTTCAGTCTAGAAAAGACTGTCATGGAAGTGAAAGTGAATCTTCAAAAGATGAAAGGATTCACCAAGAGTGGAAAGCGGTCACTGGCAGAGAGCTGGTGCATAAAGACAACAGGAGGCAAGAAAGCAGATAGCATTCTGGGATCTGTCATTTTTTCAGTGGGACAAAGCACAGTGTTCAAAGAGTGGGGACAATAGGACTGAGACATGCTAGAAGAGAGGTAAGGAAGTGCCAAAGAGTATTCTGACATGAGGCACTGAATCATAGTAGGCTTATATGAGTTTTGTGCTTTAGGAAAATTGACCTATGCCAGTGGGGACAGCTTATTGAAAGAGTAAAACTGGAGAGGGAATTCAGTTAAAAGATTATCCCAATTGTTCAAAATATGAAGGCCTAAACCAAATCAAAGCAGAAGATCTGGAAAAAGGGAGACATTAAACGAATCGACATTAAAGAGCATAATTATCACGTGTGTGTGTGTGTGTGGTGGGCTGGCAGCAGGAGCTTATGCAGAGGTAGGACAGATATATGGGTGAAACACTAAGGCAATGCCCAAGTTTTCATTCATTGGTCCTACCACGATTGTCAAACTGACTTTCCTAAGGTAAGTACGTGTTTGGGGTAATATGCTACCTTAGTAAAACACAATTATATGCCTGCCGCTCATATTAATGTTCATATATCTGGCCCAAGCAGGACATGAAGCAACCTAAACAAGAAAACAGGCACTCAACCACTGAGGAGTGTTCCAGTGTGTTTTTGAATCATGATTATGCAGACTACTTCTTTTTTTTGAGAGGTTTTTTCGCTACAGGGCGCGTGCACTCGACAGACAGACAGAGAGAGAGACATAGAGACAGAAAGCGAGAAATCACCCCCCAGAGGGGATGGTCACGCTGCAATCCCTTCTCCTCCATTCTCCTCTCGGGGTCTTGGGCACGCACGCGCAAGCGCCCGGCGTGAGTTCTAAACCACCGGGTCCGGGATGCAAACTGCGGTCGACTACGTGGGAGTCCAGCGACATAGCCATTACGCTAACTGCTGATTCCACCCCCCCTTTTTTTTTTTGCAGACTACTTCTTAAATCAAATCTCAAGAACCAAGGAAATATGTAACATCAAATTTTTTAAGGCAAGGAACAGGCCTGTCTCACCATGTTTCCATGGTGCACTACTAGGCAGCCTTCAAAACTATTCTTTTTTTTTTTTTTTTTTTTTAGTATTTTTTTGCTAGAGGGCATATGGGTTTGCCAGAGAGACAGAAAGAGAGTGAAAGTGAAAACTCACCTCACCTCCCCTGACAAGGAGACTGGCCACACAGCAATCCCTTCTCCCTTTAGAATTCTGGGCACACATGCACATGTGCCCAGTGTATTCTAAGGCCACCCATGTCTGGGACTCGAACTATAAAGCTGGCCATGTGGGATCCAGGTCCTTAACCACCATGCCACCTGCTGGCCCCCAAACCACTTATTAATGAAATGAGACACTTACTACATTGCCTCTGTAGCAATTAAAGAATAAAATCTTTTATATAAAATAGCAGGAAAAAATTACATAACTTTCACAAAGCCAAGGCAAACAATTAGATATTTAAATATAATGGCAATGCAATGGGAATTCAGGTTACAGTTCCAGGTCCAGAGAAAACCAAAAGAAATAGTGAATTAGAAGCATGCAAATTTCTGAAATTATCATTCTATTATCCTGCTTTTATATAAACAAGAAGGTACCTTAAGTTTTACTGACCCAATACTTCTCCATCTTTGTTACTATTGTTATCAGCTCAACCGTGCTATTAACAAGAAAGCTCTTAATGCACCATCTGGTTTGAAAAAAGTTTCACAGAAGAATAAAACACCAAAGTAATTCTTTTTCCAGATAAGAAGTGTATCCATATTAATGCATGCCCTTGCTCTATTATGAAAGACTGGTTTTCTCTACACTTGTACACTGGGGAAATATATGACCATAATTATAGGCAACCAAAGAAATGAATAAACACAATTAAATTTAATACATAGCACGTGAGTTATGAGCCCTCTGTAAGTTAGACAAATCTCAATTAAAATCTTGGCTTTTCCACTTATGAGATTTCTTAGCCTCCTAAGGCTCATAAATAATATAGAAATAACAGTACCCAGTTCACAGAATTGTGAGAAATAAATGCTCACAATGTACTCAGTCCCAAATCTGATATATACGAAGTCTTAAATACGTACTGACATAGAGGATGCATTAACAACATACTGTAAGGCAGTGATTTGCATTCTTGTATAGCCTGAGACTGAGGCTCTAAGAAAGGCAGCAGCTCATCACAAGTCACGATTTCTCCCAATGAACATGAAAGCGAAGACTCAAATACAGGTCTACTATGGCAAGTTCACCTGTCTGAATTTTTTTTTTTTTAAGAGGTTTTTGCTATAGGGCGCGTGTGCTCACCGACAGACAGCGAGAGACATAGAGACAGAAAGCGAGAAATCACCCCCCCAGGGGGGATGGTCACGCCACAATCCCTTCTCCTCCATTCTCCTCTCGGGATCTTGGGCATGCACACACACGTGCCCGGCGTGAGTTTTAAGCCACCAGGTCCGAGACGCGAACCGCGGTCGACTACGTGGGAGTCCAGCGACATAGCCATTACGCTAACTGCTAGTTCTCTGTTTGAATTATTTTTAATCTACCTTTTAGAAGATTTCACTAAGCCAGGGATTCATGTAAATACTATACAGAGCTTATGGCTTCATAATCAAATGAGAGGGCAGCAGACAGTCAAAGGGAAAGCAAAGGCAGTCAACAGTAAACAGCTCACTATTGTCCTTCAAATTAGCAAGTTTAGAACGTGGAACCTATAACATATGCTTAAAACAATCAGAACAATATATTCTGGAGAAGAGACACAAGAGGGAAATAATTGCAATGATCCAATTTACAGACTGTAGTGTACAATATTCTGCACACTTTTGATTTCAAGGGTGGTTTAATTATTCCCTAAAAATTAAATGCAAGAAAAAAAATTATAAAATTGGCAGGTACTTTGCTGCCAATTTTGACAGAGAATATATGGGGGTGGAGGAATTGTAGGGCATTCTTATTAAGTGGAGGGAAGAGATAAAAGCCCTACTTATAGTTCATGAATGAACTGTTATGCTTGTGAGAGGGGTCTTCAAAAAGTTCCTGGAAAATACATAGTATAACAAACTATGGACTTTAAAATTTCTGACTACAATAGATTTGTTTTTTAATACTACTTTTCCATGAACTTTTTGATGCCTCATATATTTGCAATTTCTGTAGCTATAACAGAACTACTGGCTTGTAAAAGAAAAATATTCAAAATTTTCGGTTATTTTTCCATACAATTGCTATCTTATAAACAAAACATAATGTCTGAATTCTCACATTATTAAAATGACAATGAGTTTACCAAAAAGGAAATGTTCGCAGCAGTGTGCCATTTAAAGTTACTATCATCAAAGAATTTGATTATTCTGTAAAATTTTATTTCAGTATATAATTTCACATTTACTAAATGATATATTTATATTGGTCACTAGCTTGACCTGAAAATTTTTAGGAATTAGGTAGTCCCAAAATCTGTAAAGCTGATCACTGATTCCAGATATAACCATGGTTAAGTTGAGAGAGAAAATAAAGAGTATTTCTAGAGAGTTACACATCACATTGACCAAATCAACGCATCATAAAAAGGCCCATCTCTATCTGAAAACATCGTAAGATTCAATAAACAATGCCTAAATTTCACATAAACATATAATTATATGATCACACCAGGGGGCGCTCTTAACACTAAAATGATGGATGACATTTTAAAACAGGTGGTCTCAGCTGGCCAAATAAAAGATTTTCCTAAGTATGTAGCACTTTCAACAAGTGCTTATCTTTTAAAAAATGTTTGTTGGCAGTACACATTTTCATGTGCATCCAACTGTTTGTCTAGTTAAGACTATCAAGTTAGACTATCAAGCTAAATATTTTCTTCTGATGGGAAGTATTTCATTTTGGAAACATTTGCCTACTTAAACTGGCATCTGCTTGTTACTTTTTCTGAAGCTGGGTTGATTTTCAACAATAAACAGAGTACTTTAAAGAGCACATGCATACAATTTATAAGAAATTATTTCATTGTGATTTTTATTTTCTACAAACTTTCCTAACAGATCTTTAGCTTATTTTTTCTCCATAAAAAAGGGGGGAGTAATTCTCAAGTGATCTAAAATTGGCAGTCAGAGTGAGGTTCTAATCTAGGCAGTAAGAGCCTTTTCAATATTTTCTAATTACCTTGTAGCAACTCTGAAGCCCAGATGCTCTCCTCAGAAAGTTCAAGATTCAGCTTCCTAAAATAGTATTAAAAAATTAGTGAGATCTCAACAGAAATGGAAAAGGGATTAGAAAAAAATGTAGGCTATATTATGCAGGAAAAATTTACCATTTATTCTTCCATCAGTAGTAAATATTTTCATACAAATGACATGATTAAAATAAATGCTAAGGAACAACTTAAAGTTGAACTAAAAGTATCACCGAGCGTGTGAAAGGAAGTTACCACAGAGAAGGAGTTTGTAAGCTTTTCTCAAGCCAGCTAGTTGAGAAAGTCCACTTTTTTCTATCACAGTCTTCATGAGGCACTGCCCACCTGTGCCAACTACTTCTTTGATGTGAGTTCAGGGAAATGGGAAGGAATCTCCCCACTGTTTGTGTGTTTGTGCCCTAAATCAAATTCACCAGTGCACTAAGGCTCTAATACTGTAGGGGGGGAAAAAAACCACATTTTTAATTCTGTAACCAGACTAAAAGTTTAAAGTGATAAACAGAAAAATCATATACTTACACTTTAGACTAAAGTGTACATAACTGATAGGAAGTCCTACCCAGAAAGCAGATTTTAATGTGGTTTTCAAGGAGGTGAGGGGGAACAGGAAGGATAAAAAGAACGTAAGATGAAAGGAGGACTGGCCACAGTGGAGAAATCTCGCTGAAAGGGTACACTGGGAGAGGAGTCAGGTGACTACTGATGCCTGCTTTACAGTCTTCTTGATCTTTGGAGTAAAACAAATACTGAGAGGCTCCCAAAGGTACATGCAGCCTTGTTTGGTGAGCGGCAACATCCGACATGAAACAATCCGGCATATGGTAAAGTTCCATGAGCTTCCATCAGTAGAAAAGGCAGGGAGCGGGGGTGCTGGGGTTGCATGGGATCCATCCTGTGAGAAGCAGTTACTAATCTGGATGCTAGGAGATGCGGACGGACAGTGCTTACCCTCACTAGGACTGATATGGATGCCAGTGGGCCACTAAGTGGCAGGTAAATCAGGCCCTAGAGTTAGTCGAAGACAGAGATGCTAAGGGCAACAGTAAAAAGGTCTAAGGGAAATCTTTTAAGATTCTAGCATTAACTGAGGGTGTGCCACATACCAAGTTACAAACAATATCAAATACATTCAACAAATATTTAATGAGAACCTACTTATGTGCCAGGCACGTCCTTAAGGACCTGAAGAGAGCAATGAACAAAAGAGAAAAATCCCTGAAGTCATGAAACTCACCTCCTAGCAAGGAGCAGGGACCATGAACAGCAAATATAAGGAAATAAAGGAGGAACAGAAAAGTATAAGAGAAAACTGGAACACAGGAAGAGAAAAAAACAGACTACAATTGCAAAATGGAAAATAGAGCAGATTTCAATTATAATAGAAACTGCTAAGGAGGTGAAGGTGCCTGGCACGAAGACATCTGGGAGAAAGAAGGTTCCAGTAGAGGGGAACAGCCAGTAGAAAAGCCCTGAAGTGGAAGGGTGCCAGCCTAGTCAAAGGACAGCAGGTAAGCCAGTATTCTGGTGGAGTGAAAAGTGAGAAAGCAGCACAGGCGGTCAGAGAGGTAACAAAGGCCAGATTATGCAGCTTTGACTGTGAATAAAATGGAGATCATTTTGAGAAAGCATGGAGAAATGGTCAGAGTTAATATATTCTGAAAATAAATGGGACAGGATTTTCCAATAAATTCTATGTTTGGGTGTGAAAAATAAGATTTAAGAATGATACAAAGGGTTTTGCTTTGTATTTGCTTATTTCTTTAAAAAGAGGGCAAAAGAGACAATCTAGAGAGAGAGGCAGACAGGGGTCTTCATAGGGTGATCTGCCCCTAGTCTCGGCTGGCCCAGATCATCAGCACGTACATATGTGTCTGGTGTGCACAGGGAGGTCTTAGGACAGAAACCCAGGGGCCCTCCCATGTGGACCCACTTGGCCTCCAGAGGTTTTGGTTTGTTTTCTTTCTTAAGTTTTATTTTTGTTTGTTCATAATAGAGATTGCACCCATTCACGTGAAAGAGAGAGAGAAGGAGACAGAGCACCCTAGACAGGATCTTGCCACCGTATAATCCCCCCTTCCTGGCTTTCTACTTCCTCAGGCTCTTAAGCGCCCCTGTACACAACTGGCATAATTTCAAGTCAGACTAGGGATTTTAACCCACAGCCAGCCAGTATGCTACTGACTGCGCCACTGGCGTGGACCAAGGTCCACCCTCTTTTATTTTTTTATGCTTTTGCCATAGGGTGTGTGTGTTCGCCCAAGAGACAGAGAGAGGGAAGTGAAAGATCACCCCATTGGGGGAAGAGAGGGGTGGCCATACTGCAATCCCTTCTCTTCTACTCTTCTCTCCATATTTTGGGCATGCACACACAAGCACCTAGAGTGATTTTCAAGCCACTGTGTCTGGAACTCGAACTGTGGTCAGCCGCATGGGAATACAGTGCCGTAACCACAACATCTGCTTCTCCATCACCCATTTTTAATTTCTAGAATAAAAGAGTCCACAAGAGAAAGAGAAAATACCCCCACTGGGGCATGATTACACCACAATCCCATCATCTCCATTTCTTCACCCTATCAATTTGGTGCATGCATACAAAAGTGTCTGGCATGTCTTCCAAGCCACAGGGCTGGAACTCAAATCATAACGGTCACGTGAGATCTGGCTCCCACAGTCACCAGGTTATGGAGCCAGCCAGTTTTTGATGTGAGCAACTAAAAGGACAGAGCTGACATTCAGTGAAACTGGAAGAGGATGAAAAAAGAAGGGGAAAATAATTACTTGGTCTTTGGACATATGAAGTTTGAGATGTCCTTTAAACATGTCCAAAAGGAATAATATAAAGCAAGCAGTTGGCTTTAACAACATGGAGTACAGAGAAGATCAAATTGTAGATATAAAACTGAGGATTGTCCCCTCATTGACAGCAGTTAAAGCCAAGACAAGAGGAGGAAATGCATGTGGACAGGAGCAAGGACTGAGCTGGCCCTGGCATGGCTAGATCTCAGTCTGTGGGGCAGTGTCCATTATTCCTCTGCTCCTGGTGGTCATGCCCTGTGAGAGTCCCATCTCCTAGAATGTGGACAGGACCTGTAACTTGTTTCCAACCAACTCAGTATGTGAGAGAATAAGATGACAGAGGTTGCGTGACTTTTTATTCCATTGTATGAGATTGTAGTACCAATTTCATTGGGGTTTCCCTCTCACTAGCTGACTTTTGGAAAGTAAGCACCCAAGCAGGGGAACCATTTGGGAGGAAAAAAATAAATAAATAAAAAGCTGAGGGCAACCTCTAAAAGCTGAGGGCAGTGTCCAGTTGCCAGCTTACAAAATCTCCAGCCACCACCCAACAAAAATATGGCCCTCCCTCCTACAGAGTGAAGGAAATAAATTCTGCCAACAACCTGACTAAGGAAGGAAATAAATGCTTCTCTTGTTAAGCATGCAGACGATACACCAGTCCCAGCTGACATCCTGACTACAGCCTTGCAGAAGACCCAGTTAAGCTGTATCCAGACTTCAGATCCAGACTATGAGATGATACATGTGTGTTGTTTTAAACCACTAAGTCTGTGGCACTGTTATCTGTATGCGCCAATAAAAAAGTAGTATGTCCTGAGTCACTCCAAGTTGCAGTGACCAGGAAGACATAAAAGAGCCAGGGGAAAGACAAGAAAGCTAGTGAGGTAGGAAGAAAACCCAGAAGAAAGCATTTCACCAACAGGCTTATTGCCAGCTTCCTCAGAATGATACAGAGACAAAAAGCAAAGGGAAAGCTGAGTTTGCTGACCTACTCCTGCTAGAAACTGATAGGTACTCAACAATGAAAGGAACACTAGAAGCCAGGTCCAGCCACTTCCACTTCGGCCTCAGGGTCTTCTCTATCCCTTTCTAGAAGGTAGTAAGTGGCGGTGACACTGTGTGTGAACTGGCAGAAGCCACAGGGCGTTTCAGCTTCTTTCTTTTCCACATGCTCATTCAATAACAATACTCAGCTTGAAAAATTTACAGGTGATTTTTAGCACTGATGCATTTTCCCACAGATTTTTTGGAGGGAGGGAGTACTTATAATCTAGTCAGCTGTTCACTGCTGAGTAAATGACATTCAGCCTCGCTGGGCTCCTCAGAAGACCCAATTAGTGCCACAGTTGTGCTACTTCACTGTTTATAAAGCTTTGAAGGTTGGTATTTCAAAGCTGGCTAATATTTAATACTAATGAAAGTCAGCTCATTTTAATTACTAAGTAGCTAACATAACCTATTTTTAAACTTTTCATTGTTATAATACATGCTTAGATTGGCTTTTAATTTATTTTTCCAAAAAAATCAATACAACCAAATCTAATGAGCATGTATTACGTGCAAGGTCTTGAGTTAACAAGGTACAGATCTGTGAGAGAAGTTGCCCTCTGCGTCTCGTACATCTATTATCTGTATGCAAACTTGTACTGTTTATAAAATACCGTAGCATAAAGACCGCGATATGCCCTAATGTGATCAGTATGCAGCCTTTATCCAGATTTATCTATGGTGAGCATGCCATTTCCCTATAAAGCTCTGAAAGCAATTTCTGCTCCATTCACTCATTTAATGAAGATTTATCGAGCACTTAGTTATATAGAGGGGCAAGTTGGATTTAAAAAGAGAGAGAGAGAGAATTTACGGTTCCTGCTCTAGAAGCCACATCCAAAATGTGTCTCTTGTCAGTTTCAAAATACCTCATCTATACACATGTATGTGCATACACTGTGTGGGTGTGTCTATGTTTATAGAAATATAGTGTACACATCAACATCGCACATGCAGGATCTTTAAAAAGTTCATGAAAATGCATATTATGGCAAAAGTATGCATGGATTTTGAAACTTTTACACCAAAATTAAATTGTACTTTAATTCCATTTTTCTATGAATTTTGAAGCCCCCTCAAGTATGTATATACACATATACACACACAGATATGAATGTATATATACTTTATATATACTCCATGCACACTATATAAAAATTATAGTCACAGGAACAA